ATTGCTATTTATGAAAATATATACACTGCAAAAAAATAAATAAAAAAGATTTTCTTCCTTAGTATTTTTCTCTTGTTTTCTATAAATATCTACAAATTCTTGAATCAGGATGCATTTACTTGACAAGTAAAATGACTTAAAATATTATGTCTTGTTTTCTGAAAAACTTTTGTTAGTGTTTGCTTAAAACAAGTAAAAATATCTGCCAATGGGGTAAGAAAAATAATCTTAATTCAAAGGCTAAACAATATTTTCTTTTACCTCATTGCTAGATATTTGTGCTTGTTTTAAGCAAAAACTAACAAAATATGGATAATATTTTCAGAAAACAAGACGTCATCTTACTTGTCAAGTAAATGCATCCTGATTCAAGAATGTTTAGATATTTATACTAGAAAACAAGACAGAAATACTAAGGAAGAACATCATTTTATAACATACGTATCTATATAATTAATGCATTATACATAAAGGCTTCAAGTAAAGTGTTACACTGCAAAAAATGATTTTCTTGCTTAGATATTTATACTAGAAAACAAGACAAAAATACTAAGAATTCTTGAATTAAGATGCATTTACTTTACAAGTAAACTGACTTGAGATATTATGTCTTGTTTTCTGAAAATAAAAAAAATTAAAATTGTTAGTTTTTGCTTAAAACGAGCAAAAACATCTCCCAATGGGGCAAGAAAAATAATCTTGTTTAGCCTTTGAATTAAGATAATTTTTCTTACCCCATTGGCAGATGTTTTTGCTTGTTTTAAGCAAAAGGATTACACAATTTTGTAAAGAAAACAAGACAAAAATCATTTTTTGCAGTGTACCAAGCAGATTGTGTGAGTGTGAGCGATATGATCAGTTCATTTAGATTTACACTGGATTCCAGCACAGATCACGTCTGATAGATGTGCAGCGAGATCACGAATCAATCCAAAACCTCAGCGTTTCCGTTTGTGGTTCATCTGGCAGTTTCAGTAGCTATCGACCTCCTCGTCCTCCTCCGTTTCATCTCATTAAAGTCTGAAGTTCAGAGACGAGCGTCTGAATCTTTCTCTCCGAGTACAAAAAGCCACGTCCGATCGTCTGTCCGTTTACTGTGGATTGTCACACGAACACAAAGGCTTCTGGGATGCGCTCCGCTCGTCTTTCCGTTGACCGGTGGAATGGAGAAAGAGCGCGACACGATGAACGATACGATCCAGCGGCCGGAAAGTTTACTATACATCTTCCTTACTTCTGTACAAGTTCAAGTATTATCTTCGCTAATAAAAATAAATACAAAACATGAAAAATGATCAACTCTACTCCTATATTCTACATTTCTAATCTACGTCGGTGCAAGAAACAGCTACCAGAGCAAACGTTTTGTCGTCGTCACACGGGCCGCCAGATTTATGTTCTTCTACTGTTAACGTTAGTGATCGTTATACTTGCAGCTACAAGGTAAGAGTTTTAGATTTTTTAAATATATATATATATTTATATCTTTTAAAAAGCGTGTAGTCCTTTGGTCCCTATTTTCTAAGGAATGATGCATGTAGATATTCCTGGATACTCGTCCAGAGCGCAGAACACGCGATACCAGTGTAGGCACGAAAACCAAAAATGGCAGCAGGCTGGTGTGTGTGTGTGTGTGTGTGTGTGTGTGTGTGTGTGTGTGTGTGGTAATATACAGGGATGAATCTACAAGCAAAACTGCACTGCAAAACATTTTCTTACTTCGTATTTTTGTTATTTGTACATTTTGCATTTTTGTAAGCATCAAAAATGCATCAAAATTAAGTGAGTTTAAGCTTAAAACAAGAAGAAAAAAATCAGTCAATTATTTCTCAAATGAAAAATTGGTCAATAAAAATTAAATAACTAAAAAAATAATAAATTGAAAATAAATTGGAAAAATTACAAAAATAATAAAACAAAATTAAATAGAAAAAAATTGAAAAATAATAATGGATAAAAATAATGAAAAAAAAAAGTTAAATACAGATGAAAAAAAAGGAAATAGAATAATGAAAAATAAAATAATAATCATAAAATAAGTATAAACTCGCATAATTTAGAGAATGTTTTATTGGAAAATGACTTATTTTGCTTGATTTAAGAATGTGTAGATATATGGCAAAAAACAAATTCAAAACAACTCAAAAACACTAGTTTTTACAATGAATTTCAGAGAAGATCTCCTGATGAAGCCATATGACAAAAGCCTTCGCTCGATTCATAAACAATACTTTCTTTCACCGTTAGAGACGGTGCAACACTGACTGAAGCAACGCGATCAAACAATACACACCAGAACAAACAGAGAGAAAGAGAGAGAAATATCCACCACATTCAACGAGGAAGAGCACAACAGCTCACGGCACGACGGCGATAAAGGGGTTAAAGTTCACAAGGCTTCAAAATCACCCGGTTACGGTTACCCAAAGAGACCAGGTCCACTGAAACAAGCAGGGTTTGGACTTACACGAGTGCGTCCCTGATGCAGACAAACATACCCGTCCTGAGCTACCTGAGCCCTGACAGAAACACAAGAATCACGCCATTCGTCTCGTCAGCTTCACAGGAAGATGGCTTTAGGAATTTAGATTCAGCGGATAAATCAGGACAGATATACAAAACATTAAGACAAACATGCACATTAGTACTGTAGGACGTCATGAGTTTAAGACAAACACACAGCGAGGAAGACGTGAGTTCTTGTGCGTCACATTCTCCCTCATGTCCCTCCAAACCCGGATGACTTCACATCTTCAAAGGAGCACAAAAAGAGATGTTTTATGCATGCAACGCCTGAATGCAACACAGCAAAGTTTGAGTAAAACGAGCATAAATGAGACGTGAGAGATGCACTGGAGGGGAACATTTGAGTCCATTTGGGGAAAAAACTGATATAATGGCATGACAAAGACTATATTAAAAAAAAGGAAATAATAAAATAAAAATTGAACAAATAATGAAAAAATATTAAGAAAAATGGAACAATAAAAAAAACACAAAATAAATAAAAAAAGATTTATGGGAAAACAATAATAAAATAAAATAAATTGTAAAACAATCATGGAAAAATAAAATAAAATAAAATAAAATAAATTGTAAAACAATCATGGAAAAATAAAATAAAATAAAATAAAATAAATTGTAAAACAATCATGGAAAAATAAAATAAAATAAAATAAAATAAATTGTAAAACAATCATGGAAAAATAAAATAAAATAAAATAAAATAAATTGTAAAACAATCATGGAAAAATAAAATAAAATAAAATAAAATAAATTGTAAAAGGAAATAATAAAATAAAAATTGAACAAATAATGAAAAAATATTAAGAAAAATGGAACAATAAAAAAAACACAAAATAAATAAAAAAAAGATTTATGGGGAAAACAATAATAAAATAAAATAAATTGTAAAACAATCATGGAAAAATTAAATAAAATAAAATAAAATAAATTGTAAAACAATCATGGAAAAATAAAATAAAATAAATAGGGAAAAGTAAAGTAAAGCAAAGTAAAATTAAATTAAATATTGGAGGAAAAATTGGGTCAGTTTTTCAGACAGAGACTTCAGCACTGAAAAAAAGTGTTCTTTCTCAATATTTTTTTATTTATGTATTATTTCCAGTACAAATATCTAAGCATAAATGCAACACATCAAGATACATTTACTTGACATGCAAAATGACGTAAGATAGGAAGTTTTGTTTTCTGGTAAATTCTTCACAATATAGTTAAGTGATAAGAAAAAATATATTATTTACTTCTTTCAAATGGACAACATTTTTCTGACCTCATAGCCAGAGATTTTTATATTATTATTATTATTATTGTTTTAAGCATAAACACGCCTAATTTTGATACATTTTAAGACTTAATAGGCATTAGTACCGAAAAATAAGACAAAATTCAGAGAAAGAACATCACATATTTGGAATATTTGGAGTCTTATGAACTACTTTTTGAATGCTTTTATGTCCTTGTTAGAGCTTGAGAGATGTGGATGTAAAAGATCAGTATGAATATTGTTCAGAAAGAAGTCATACGAGTCTGTAATGACATGAATGTGAGAAAATCAAGAACTATTCATATCTCTCTTCAGCTAAAGTTCACTTTACTTTAGCAATTCATCATCAATTCATGAAAGTTAATGCAATGACAATATGCAAATGATGTGTCATTACTAACCCTTTTAAGTAATCAATAATAATTGTTTTTTTTTGGAAAAGTGTGTAAAAGATTTTGTTTTATGGTCAGTCATGGTCGGTGGGATAATGTGTGTACTGAATTAACATATTTCTGCAGTCATAAACAGCTATTTTAAACTGTTTGATCACATTCTAGGGTTAATGTTATGCATAAAAAACCCTTATACCCATCAACGCGTTTCAAAATTGTTACTTTCTTGTAACAAACATCATAAAATTGTTATATTAGTGCTGCTACAACATCAATATTGTACCTTATTTGTTACATTTGAAATATTAATTTAGTGCAATATTTTGTCATTGCAACATTTTAGTGCATTTTTACACTAACAACTACAATTGGATTTATATTGTATACCGTTATCACAATTTTTATTCATTCTGTGACCACACTCAACAAAACTGAATATATGTGATATATTCTTATATTAATACTAGACACCTTTAAGATAATGTGGACCAAAAATCTTTATGTTAATATACTTCATGCTTTGATCATGTAACAATTTGCACTAAACGTGTGAAACTGCACATATTTCATTGAGACACTTTATTTTTTTCCATATTTGCTGGAAGTGCACTAAAACATCAGTCAGTAAGGTTTTCAAAACTTTATAAATGAGAACCTTCTTTACGGTCACTATTGTGAGTGGTGGGATTAAATGGGTTAAAAGCTTTTAAAGCACACAGTTAACTGCTGACAGAGAGTCATGCACAGGATTCTCTGAAGCTTTCACACAGAACAGAACTGAAGGCAGATTAGACAGAAACAGACACGCTCTCTGACCTGTGAGTGAAGGCGGCAGCGGTCAGCTCAGGGTCAGCTCAGGGTCAGTACGGCCGGTTGGCGTCCTTGGGCCGCTTCAGCTGAACTTTGAGCCTCTTCATGCCGATCTGAAAGCCGTTCATGGCCTGAATGGCTGCCTGAGCGCTGGAGGGGTTATCAAAGCTGACGAATCCTGAGAGACAAACACAGAACAATGCCATCAACAACTGCTGCGAATAACCACATTCATGAAGAAAACTGTGTGAGCAATGAAGAATAATGTAGCACAAAGCCGTGCTGTAATGCACATTCACAAAGCTGATTCCGTTCGAGCTCAAATATTTACTTGAAGTTGCCTTGAAATGTAAAGTTAACACTTCAATAATTTCTCAACACGTACGCATGTTCACAGTTCTCTGATGTCAGTTAAAAAAACAAAAAAGGTATTTGTTTTAACTTTTATGATTTAGTAGCTGTCCTTCAACTTAAGAACCCTCTGCAGTTCCCTCACAAACCCCAGTTTGGGAAAAACCCTAATGTAATGGCATGACAACGAAAAAAATAAAAAAATAATAATAATTATAATAATAAAAAAATTAAATTAAATTGAGATAAAATTAAATTAAATTAGATAAAATTAAATAAATAAATAAATTAATAATTAAATAAAATAAATAAACAAATAAAAATAAAAATAAAATACAAGAAAATAAATTAAAATAAATAAAATAAATAAAAACCGTTTTCATGATTGAATTACTAAAATAAAAATTTGCCATCCATTAAGTCATGAACCTCCTGTAGTTTCCTCTTGAATCCCAAATTGGGAAGCCTTCATATGATGGCATTACAAAGATGGTTACACAAAAAAATAAAAATAAAATAAAAAAATTAAAATAAATATTTTTATATATAATCAAATTACTTAAAATAAAAAATTAGCTTTCCATCAACTTCCCTCATGAACCCCAATTTGGGAAACCTTGATATAATGGCATGACAAAGACTGTACATATTAAAAATGAAAATACATAAGAAACAAATAAAAAAGAAAATGAATGAATGAATGAATTGTCATGGTAGCTGAGTTTGAAGGTCACTCCGCCGGGCAAACAACAATCATCACAAACAAAGGAACTTCACAACACCTTCAGAACTCATTATAACAACTGTGAGCGACTTCAAATTCAATTCTAGTACAAAATGAAATTGCGAAAATGCACCAGCTATAAAGTTGCTAAAGTGTTAAGGAGAAAAACATTTTCCCGAGGTGATTTTGTTTCAGTGATCTGTTCTTCACCACACAGTTAAATCACTTACACTACAAGTCAAATATTTTTTTTATATTTTTTAAAGAATTCTCGTCTGCTCACCAAGCCTGCATTTATATGATACAAAATACAGCAAAAGCAGTAATATTGTGAAACATTTTTACTATTTATATAACTGCTTTCTATTTGAAATAATAATCAGAAATGTTTCTCGAGCAGCAGATCAGCATATTATACTGATTTCTGAAGATCATGTGACACTGAAGACTGGAGGAATGATGCTGAAAATACAGCTGCTCATCACAGAAATACATTACAGTTTAACAGATATTCACATAGAAAACAGCTGTTTTAAATAGTAAAAATATTTCAAAATTGTACTGTTTTTGCTGTACTTTAGATCAAATAAATGCAGGCTTGGTGAGCAGAAGAGACTTCTTTAAAAAACATTAAAAATCTTATCTTAAAAATCAGTAAAAACAGCTAAATGAACATTCTTACCCTGCGATTCAAAAGTTAAATCAAAAGTTGAGAAAACGTGAAAGTTTAAGGCAACCAGCTTCAGCAGATTTTTGAGTTCTGGTTGCCTTAAACGTTTAAGTTTTCTCAACTTTAGATTTTTTACAGCATACTCTCATTCAGTGTTCGATGAGTTACACGCTGAAGTTTAATACTTGTATAAATCACAGTATGAGCAAGTCAGAGATGCTTGTCTGAACAAACAGTGAGCGTCTTATGTTACAGGATCTCGCTCCTGTCCTCTTCTTATCGCTCTGATTATTCGAGACAGAGACGAGCTCCTCATAAACCTCAGTCACGGCAAACAGATGAAAACACGAGGAGACGAGCCAATGACAGACATTACAGCTCCAAACCAAACCACAGTCACAGCTCTGTGTCTGTTTGCTCGTCTGTTACTGGAAAAATAGACCAATGAACTCTATGACATTAATCAGCTATTACTGCAACCTGTTCAAACGTTTAGAGTAGGTAAGATGTTTTTTTTCCTCTTTTCTGCTCACCAAGGCTGCATTTAGTTGATTAAAAATACAGTAAAAATGGTGAAATATTATTACAATTTAAAATAGTTGTTTTCTGTGTGAATCTCTGTTAAACTGTGCTGTACTTCTGTGATGCGCAGCTGTATTTTCAGCATCATTCCTCCAGTCTTCAGTGTCACATGATCTTCAGAAATCAGTATAATATGCTGATCTGCTGCTCAAGAAACATTTCTGATTATTATCAGGGTTGAAAACAGTCGTGCTGCACAATATTTTAGTGGAAACTGTGATGCATTTTATTTTTCAGGATTCACAGAAAGTTCAAAAGAACAGCATTTATTTGATCTTTTGTAACATTATACTGGCACTTATATATATATAGTTACATAAATAAATTGATTAAAATTAAAAAATGGCATTCTATAAATTTCCAGCAATTCCATGGATTCCAGTTTATATATATATATATTATTATATATTATTATTTTATTTTTTTTACATGTAAAAATAAATGAATATAAACATACAAATAAAATAAGTTCAAATAATAAGAAAGAAATAAAACTGAAAGCGCGACTGAGTTTGAAGGTCACTCCGCCGGGCAAACAACAATCATTACAAACTACTTAACTACTTCAAAAATCCCCTTTAAAACCCATGATGACAGCTGTGAGCAACTTCAAAATAAAGTGTTGCACAAAAAAGAATTTGATTGCGCTAGAAAGTTCACACACGTTCAATGACTGTCCCGAAAGAATATATGTGACCCTGGAGCACAAAAGCAGTGTTGAGTCGCTGGGGGATATTTGTAGCAATAGCCAACAATACATTGTATGGGTCACAATTATACATTTCTCTTTTATGCCAAAAATCATTAGGATATTAAGTAAAGATCATATTCCATGAAGATATTCTGTAAATGTCCTACCGTAAATATATCAAAACTTCATTTTTGGTTAGTAATATGCATTGCTAAGAACTTCATTTGGACAACTTTAAAGATGATTTTCTCAATATTTAGATTTTTTTGCACCCTCAGATTCCAGATTTTCTAATAGTTGCATCTCAGCCAAATATTGTCCTATCCTAACAAACCATACATCAATGGAGAGCTTATTTATTCAGCTTTCAGGTGACCCTTATGACTGATTTTGTGCTCCAGGGTCACATTCGAGAGGCCCGTCAGGACAGAGTTTGAATGATCTGCATCTCTGCGACAGACTGTACACGAAACAATCAATGACTGAAGCACATCAGCGGCGCTTCAGAGAGTCCGTGTTCAGATAA